AAGAAACCTCTCATGTTCTTCAATGCAGAGGTCAACAATAGGAAGCAGGTCAAGAAAGTCAAAGTCCAGAAGCAGCATGTTATTCTTGGTTGTGACAAAATTGGAAAAAAGTGTCAACCTGTTCATTTCGAGGCAAACAAAAATGATGTTGAACCAGATAATACAATAGATTGCAGTAAAGCAATGGTAAATATGAGCTCTGTTCATTTTGGGGAGTTTTTTTAAAGCCCATGACTTGTAAAATATTATATCTGGTATGCTTTGCTGCAGTGTTAAACTGAAAAAAAAAAAAAAAAATGTTTTGGTATCAATGTATGTGCGCATGCAAACATTATTCAGTCAAACAATAAATACAAATTGTTGCATCAAAAAAGTTTCTTGTTCTTATTTTAAAATCATGCTTTTTCCACATGGCGAAAATAAAATAGTTTATATATTATTTGTGTATTATTGAAACAATCACCGGGCTTTAAATAGTTTTTTCTTGCTTTCTAAACTTTATATTACTTTCAAAGTAAAACCTTCTTAACTTCCTGATACTGCTGTTTCCACTATGCATTTAGTATGAATCATTATTATTATTCGGTCCCATTTTATATTAAATGTCCTTAACTACTATGTACTTGCATAAAAATAAATAAATAAATAAATAAAATGTACTTACTGTGTTTTTGATGTATTTGAAAACACTTGTGGTGCTTTTGAGTTGGGACAGAGGTTGGGTTATGAACAGGTTTGGTGGTATGGGTAGGTTTAAGGGTGGGTTAAGGTATAAGGGATGGTCAACGGTGTATTTACAAATGTAATTACAAAAGTTAATTACAGATGTAATTACATATTTGTATTTAATCAAGCATAAGTACACAGTAAATACATGTATTTACACAATAAGTATATTGTAACAAACTATTAATTCCTGTGTAAATACTTATTAGTTAAGGCCACTTAATATAAAGTGGGACCCATTATTCATTTTTATTAATCTATTTTTTGGTAACACTTTATTTTGAGGGTCCATTTGTGTTAGTAGACTGTCTGCTTAATATCTTATGATAATGCTACTAAACAGACATTTAACTGACTATAAAAAACTTTGCAAGTCCATGTCAACTTACACCAACCCCAACCCAAACCAAACAGTTTACTTAAAATGAAAATTAGTTACAATGTAACTTAAATTCAACAAATAGACCATTAAATAAAAAGTGCCCCTATTTTTATTGTATTTGTTTAATTATTATTACTATTATTTTTTTTTTTTGCAGTTTATTTATTTATTTTTGCTTTAGCTGTTGGACAGTATGTGTTGATTCTAAATGTAAGTGTGAACAAATACTCAATGCCCGACTACATATGTAAATACAGTAGAGCCCTATAATATATTGGGCACTTTTATAATATATTCTAGGCGTGTAGGGCATGATTTGTTGCTATTTTCATACAAAGTTTCATTTATACATTTTGTTTTACGTTGTTTAAATAGCAAATCAATTTGTGTCACTTTGTGGACTTTTGAATGTGAAAAGGAGGTTACTCAAGGCGCATTGTTGTTGCGTTGCTATTTTGAGGCAACTAAAATAGACTGCGTCATAGACCAACTAAAAGCAGGTTTAAAGTAAGTGGCACAGAGTTTTTGTAATTTAAAGAGTGCATATTGTAATTTTGTAGGCACATATTGTAGGCACATATAGGCAGGTACAAAAAAAAAGTGTAAACATTGCTTAATACACACAAGATGTGCAACGATACACAAATATCTTTACACATAAAAACAAGTAAAGGATTAAACTGTATTAAAAAAAAAAACACTACCTCCATCACTGCAAAAAATGCTTTTCTTACTTAAATTTTTTTTGTCTTGTTTCTAGTACAAATATCTAAAAATTCCTAAATCAAGAAGAATTTTTTAGACAAGCAAAACATATCGTCTTGTTTTGAGAAATAATATGCCAATATTGAGCGAGTTTTTCCTTAATACAAGCAAACTAATCTGCCAATGGGGTAAGCAAAATAATCTTACGTCAAAAGAAAAAAACAAGATTTCTAAACAACTCTAAGTAGTTGACAGTGTTAATGTCAACTGCTACATTTAAAATGACCCATTGGAGTTATAAAAAGACCCCAATTTCAGTGTTTAAATCCATAATGAATGAACATCAAGCTCCATAAACTTTTGACATCATTTTTTAAAACACCAGCCATTTAGTTTAATCAGATTCAGAGATGAAGGTCGTAATACTAATGTTGTCCAAAAAAGGGTACAGAACAAAAATAAATCATTTTAGATCACAGTTTAAAGACTGTAAAAGGTAAAGAAGATCACCTAAAACTATAATGCATATACATTTATCATAGTTCATAAAGCCCAATATAACCAGCATAATCAACAAAACTCAGAAATCTCCAAAATACTTTATTTATTTATTTATATATATATATATATATATATATATATATATATATATATATATATATATATATATATATATATATATATATATAATGCTTTTATAACAGTGGTTACCGACCCATAGGTTACCAACTAGTAGAGCTTTTTGCACACTCAGAAATACCTTTTGAGTGATGTAGGTTCTCACTTTATTCTTCAAAAGCCAACAGCTGTTTTTTTTTTCATTGTGGTTAATTGCTGCAATGTCAATATGCAGCTCTTAATATGTGCCTCGAAGAAATAAGGGGTCGTCTGTTATTTCAAATAGAGATGCATGGCTTGTGACAATCATGGCAATTTAGACACATGCTTTAGTCAATTTGAAATATTTAGTCTGGGCAAACTTTTATATTGATTCCTCTTATACCTCAGGACTGCAGCTTTTTTTCAGGACAATTCATTTTATTCATTCATTTTCCTTCAGCTCAGTCCCTTTATTAACTTATTTAGCATATGTTTTACGCACTATGAAACACCTATACACTCTTGCATTCACACACATACACTACTGCCAATTTAGTTTATTTAATTCACCTATAACACATGTCTTTGGACTTGTGGGGGAAACCGAAGCACCTGGACGAAACCCACACAAACACGAAGAGAACTTTAACTGTAACACTTTACAATAAGGTTTATTAGTTAATGCATTTACTAACATGAACTAATCATGAACAACACATGTACATCATTTATTAATCATAATTGAACATTTACTAATGCATTATTAACAACCAAGTCCATGCTTGTTAACATTAGTTAATACACCATGAGTTAACATGAGCTAACAATGAACTACTGTATTTTCATTAACTAACGTTAACTAATATGAACAAATACAGTAGTAAATGTATTGTTCATTGTTTGTTCATGTTAGTAAATGCATTAATTAACATTAACTAATTAACATTGTAAAGTGTGACCACTTTAACTTTAACCTTTAGTTAACTGCTACTTGTTTAGTATGGAATTACTAAACAAATATTTAGTATTGGAGGAGGAGCAATCCAACCAATTGCTGTTTAAATCACCCATTGTCTTGAAAAATATCTAGTAAAATATTATTTACTATCATTATGGAAACGATAAAATAAATCAGTAATTAGAAATGAGTAATAAGACTATTATGTCTAGAAATATGTTTAAAAAAATCTCTGTGTTAAACAGAATTAGGGGAAAAATAAACAGGGTCTTCTAATTCATGGGGGCTAAAAATTCTGACTTCAACTGTATGTTTCAGTAACAAGAAAAATTGTTTAGTACAGTAGAAGAAGCTGCACAAAATGTTAAACAAACAAAAAAAAAAAAAAAAAAAAACAAAGACATCATACTCTGACTAAAAAACAAGGAGTCTGCCACATACTCCTGGTACGAAACATTATGAAGAAACAAAGCCAATGAATTCAGCTTGGTAGAGAGAGCATTAAACTGAAATTATTTACATAAAAATACAAACTGTCCTGAGTGGCAAGAGTCATACTCAAGTCCCAGCAACACTGGGTGGAGAGTAATTGCTCACAAAGAAAAAAAGAAAAAAGAACGCTTCAACAGGACAACAAATGAGTTTGATAGAATAGAAAACTAAATAAATAATAAATACAGAATATCCAAAATGGCAAGTCTATTGGATCACACTGTCTCAGGATATTAAAATTGTAAAATATATAGACCATTTTAATGCGGTCATGTCATTGGCCCATGCACATTTCCTACTTGTTATCAAACTATTTCATAACTGTAACAAGAGACAATTCAATCATAACTTCATGTCAATACAGCTATCATAACATTTTTGCTCAATATGTGGCTCTTTTTAGATTCTCTGAACCTATAATAAAAAAAAAAAAGTAAAACAGGAAATACGCTGGGACCATTGTTTTTGTTTACATCCCTCAAAACGGTCTATATAAAATTCAGAGACATAGGGGCGAGGCAGTGGCGCAGTAGGTAGTGCTGTCGCCTCACAGCAGGAAGGTCGCTGGTTCGAACCTCGGCTCAGTTGGCGTTTCTGTGTGGAGTTTGCATGTTCTCCCTGCCTTCGCGTGGGTTTCCTCCGGGTGCTCCGGTTTCCCCCACAGTCCAAAGACATGCGGCACAGGTGAATTGGGTAGGTTAAATTGTCTGTAGTTTATGAGTGTGTGTGTGAATGTGCGTGTGGATGTTTCCCAGAGATGGGTAGGAAGGGCATCCGCTGTGTAAAAACTTGCTGGATAAGTTGGCGGTTCATTCCGCTGTGGCGACCCCAGATTAATAAAGGGACTAAGCCCTTTATGAATGAATAAAATTCAGAGACACAAAGAGAGAAACTTAATTGTTCACCTCTGAACTCTATAAATCTTACTGTATCATTTAGGATTTTCGTTTTTTTTTTTTTTTTTTCTGGCATATTTTACTCTAGAATGTAAAGAAATCAAATGTTTGAATTTTTTATCTCAAAATTGTGACATTTACTTGAGTCTGCACTAAATTCAGTGAATGAAGAATTACTGTGTATTGCATTTTAGTTACAGTTAGCTTAAAAGAATAAATCACCCAATCATGGACTATTGTATACAACCACAGAACATAATATTTTATTTGTTTTTTCTTTGAAACAACTAATAAGAGTAAATGGTTTTACAATGATATTTGTGATCTCAGGTTGCTACAGGTCTTCTTGAATTGTAGACTTTAATACCATTTTGCATAGATGAACGGGCATGTTTTGTCAGGAGAGCTCCAGTGGTTTGCTTCTCTCCACAAAGATCTCTGTTGAAGAAACATCAAATCACATCAATCACTTTAAAAAATGTATTTACTATAGGTCTATATCAGCTTCCTCAAAACTGTAGTTGCAGTTCAAAACAGATCAGCAGTTACAGATGAAATTGACAGCAATTTCATTCACAACAATTGCACAATATGTTTTATGGAGTGTAATAAAATATAGACTTTATAGTTCTTACTGTATATATGGTTCAATGTCATCTTGTGTCCATTTCTCCCTCAGGCTGAAGAGGCTGTTAAATCGCTCCAGTGTGTCCTCTGGCAGATCTTCTACCCGGAGCAGTGAAATGGTCTCTGGTTTAGAGCTTCGATCTATCAGAGCTAAACCCTAAGTGACACAAAACATGAATATTTACACTACCAAAAAAAAAAAAGGAATGTGAATATATAATTATTTTTTTATCAAAAACAATATGCAACATGGTTAAATATTATGCCAATTTGCAATTATGTAATTTGAGCCATTTAATTTAATTTTAGCACATTAAAATACCATATTAACATGACAAATACAAATAAACCCAAATGCACCCCTCAATTAGTATTTACTGTATATTTAAAGACAAAATTATTGTTCCTAAAATTTATTAGCCCTGTAATTATTTTTCACATTGTGAAAGTGTTATGAAAAGGAATTGCACCATTAGAAACTGGTAAACGGTTTACTGTTCCAACTTTTTTTTTTAAATGTGTTGAAAGAATATATTTTAAAATGTATTTATTATCTGTTTTTGTCCTGTCTCTGCAGTTCTGTTGCACTGTTGAAGCTCTGTCACGAAAACAAATTCCTGGAATGTGTGAACATACCTGGCAATAAAGCTCTCTCTGATTCTGAACCAAGTTTTAGTATAAAAGAATTAATGTCGCATCACCAGGCTATCCAGAGGGATCATGCGTGTTGAATCTGAAGGGAGTTGCTCCAGTGTTTTGTGTGTGTCTGTATGTTTATGTCTGTGTCAGGGGTTGAGTGAGCGGCGTATCCAAGTAGGGGCGTGTACGCGCGAGATGTAGTTGAAGAGCGGTGGGGGTGAGTTGCACGTGACATATCTGAAGAGCTAGGAAGGATGCGGTGGAGAGGGGTGTGCAACGTATTTACAGACCAGGCGGGAGATGCGCGATTTCCAGGAGGTTATCATTTATTTGCGGGCATCCAGTTTTTGTGCATTTGCAGGATACTTCCGCAACTTCCGGGAGACTTGGGATGTCTGGACTGGACTGTCTTAGCAACTGGATGAATGTAAAAGAGGACTGAACAAAATTGTTTCTATTTTATAATTAATGTCCTCAACTTACAGCAATACAACTTTACAATGAGTGCAATTGTTTGTATTCAATAATTTATTTTAAATTTTTTTCATTTGCCATTTTCCATATCTGCAATGCCTGTATTTTGGCATTTTTTTTGCAGTCCACTTAGAAATCACCTGGAAATCAATGTTTTCTTTGTTGGTATTGATTGTTAACCCTAACCCTAAATTCAAATGGCATTAACATGCCTATGTTTTAATTTCTGTAATAAATATGGCTGTCAAGTCAGGATCTTGATGGTTTGTTGTGGGTATGTTGCTTACATGAAGAAATCTGTGATACAAGTAAAACAAAAACGCTAATAAACAATTATATTTTGAATTTAAATAGTTTTTGTCTTGAGCTTACATAAATTTTACATTTGAATAGCCAAAATGACAAGTTTCAATATTTTAATTGTGATTAATCGCGATTAATTTTCAAAAAAAGTGTGATTAATTTGTTAACTTTTTAAATCAATTGACAGCACTAATATATATATATATATATATATATATATATATATATATATATATATATATATATATATATATATAATTATTTTATTTTTTTTCTGGAGAAAGTTTTTTTTTTTGTAATTTTGCTTGGAATAAAAAAAAATGCAAAGGTCATCATTATGAGCTACATTTTAAAACATTTTTCCTCTTATTAACTACAGAACAAAACACAGCTGTCCAATGAATTTCCTAATTAACCTTCTACCGCATGGTGTTGCCATATGGCAACATTATATTTATGTTAATTTCCCTGCCACTGTTTCTTTAAGACCAACATTGATTTTTTTTGTTGGAAAGAGAAGACCTTAGTTTAACCAATCATGTGTTTTGGTTAAGTCACATGAAATGCTGTGTTTTTCTGTAGTGCGATTTCTGACAGACAGGCGTTTATTGAGAGTAGTTGCTAAATACAAATGTAAACTTCAATAAAAACAAAGGATCAAACTATGTTAGATCCACAAAAAAATCTGAAACATCATCAGCAGTAAGTTATAATGACATATTCACAACTAAATTTTTTAATCAAATTAGTTTTTAGTAAATTGATCAAATGTATGTGTTGCCAAACGGCAACACTGTACAAAAGTGGAACATGCAAGATTAGCTAGCAAGATCAGCTGTGAACTTTTAAGTTGTAACAATAACATAAATGCTAGTAATATAATGTTGACTAATCATGTGTTAATGGCATTTGCATTACAGATAAAATCTAGTTTTAATGGCAATACTAATGTATAGATATAAATAGAGGGAACAGTGTATTAGCGAAGACCACCATGTTTTATGGTAAGTGAAAGAAGAAAAGGACAGAACTGGCTCTTCCTGCAGATTAATGTGAGGATGAGATGGGTTTTAGTGACCATGGGAATGATGCAGATTGGACATTTGATAAGAGCAGTGATGGAGACAGTTCAGGTAAGTTAGCTCTGAGGCAGATAAGACAGGTGTTGTATAGTGTATAGTATAATATATATATATAAACATTTTTAGCTAGTAGCTACATTATTCTGATGCATCTGGATATACTAGACTTGTTATTTATTTGTTATAATATTTACTGAACAAAATATTTATATTTACTGCATGTAGTATACATGATAATACAATATGACTGTTTTCAATAATATTCAGCTGTAAGCTGTTGGAATATGAGTTGTTGGGAAGCATGTATAAAGTGTCATTTATAAGTTCTGTGTTAAAGCTTATAATACTGCAACACAAATTAAATCATTTCAAACAACATACTTATTAATTATAAGAAAAGTTCTAAATTATTCATTTCCAATTTAGATCCACTGTTGGACGTTGTTGTCATATAGCAACATATCATAAAGCAGGGGTGACCAACCCTGTTCCTGGAGATCTACCTTCCTGCAGATTTCAGTTGCAACCCATATCAAACACACCTGCCTGTAATTATCAAGTGCTGTTCAGGTCCTAATTAATTGGCTCAGGTGTGTTTGATCAGGGTTGGATCTGAAATTTGCTGAAAGATAGATCTCCAGGAACAGGATTGAGCACCCCTGTCATAAAGTATCTTAAAAAAAGAAAAATTTCCATTTTTTTTAAGTTAAGCCATTTTAAGAAAAGAAAACAGTCAAAAAAAAAAAAAAAACTAATTTTTTTTTTTTCCAAAATATTTGCTTTTGTGTTCAAACAGCTTTTGAACAAGTAAAGGGTGATTAAATGATGTTATAGTGAACTATCCCTTTAACAAAGATTGTGTTTTCCTCACCCGGAGTTGATCCAGTCTAGTGCCCATGCCCTCAGGAACACTCTGCTGCCAAACCTCCTGGAACTCGGACAGGTTAAACTTCACAGCGTTTTGCAGGAGCAGCTGAGCTGTGGCCCTACACACTTTATCCTCATCCAGAGCATACATCACCTGATTATCTAAAGACAATGCATTAATACAAACAAGTGAAGAGAAAAAATAAAAAATGTTTATCCAATAAATTCAGAAAGTAAAGAGAGTAGGGATGTAATGATACACAAGTCAAGAAAAGTTATGAAGAAAAGCTGAACGTTGAAATTATTGTTTATTAATGTTTATTTCTCAAAATATGGTAAAAACAATAAAATGACACTATGTAGCGTTGGTTGCTACATTTTGCATGGACTTGGGGACTTTGAAAATGAGTTCTCAATGAACTGGACAGTGATGACATCAGAATACAATTATTCCTGATTCTGAAAATAAATGAGTTTTGCTAAACAAATGTGCTTGCACTTTACATATAAATTTATAGTTCCCTGATAAAATCAGACATTTGTTATTATCACATTCCCACCTAAAGCTATCATATAAGCTAGAGTACTTCATTCGGCCACTGACACTCTGTAGACATTTATTCTCAGGCAGAACACACACTGTGAATACAGGCACTCTGTGTTCGCCATCAAAGAACAAACCATATATAACGCTTGTAATAATCATACCTCTAATAGTGATTTGGTAATTTAAATTTACTTTTCAGAACCACTGCTTTATGCGAGCGTCGCTCATATCAGTGGGCGTTAGCACTTTGAGATAAAAAACATGGCACCTACAGTTACAATGTACTGAGATCTTTTGAAGTGAAACTATTGCTCTGTGCAAGAAATAGGGTGGGGCGATATTGCAAAAAAAAAAGCATCACGATATCATGTTTTATATCATTCGATATGAATAATTATTGAATGTTTTTAACAATGCATTTAGGAATGTTAGGATTTATTTAAATTTACCAACATTACAAACCAAATATCTGATCTCTTTATAATAAAATAAACAAAATGTGTTGAACACTTTTAAACTTGATAAATAAAACGTTACAAAGTGTGTGCAATGGTACAGTGTAAACGTTGAACAATCAAAGCAAACTTTAAGGTGTGAATAATAATGATGCAGTAAACCTCAAACTCTGTCAACAGCACAAATTATGATAATCAATTCTGAGCGTTCAAGTAAAGGAACCAGCCATCATTATTCAAATACATATTGAAACATTTTAAACCGTTGAATGACTATAATATCCCCTATGCTATTCATGCATTCAGATGGGGAGCTAGTGGCTAAGATCATGCAAGTCTACCGCAACTAATGGAAATGACAATCTTACACCCTAAGATTATTGGCACTGCTTGCAAGGTGTGTGCTCAGCAGGCCAATTTTAATAAAACTATAACACTTTATAATGAAACTACATACCGATACCGATTTTATCGCCCATACCTACCAACAAAATAAATGATATTTACAACATTATTATCTGTTATTAATAGGTACATTGTTTCAAACACAAAGGCCCACACATATCCTCATTGCAAACATCATTATGCAATGTATTACATGAAGACGAAATTGGCATTTTTGCGTCAATTATACCACATAAATACAGAAAAATTACTCTTGGAAAACAACAAGCTCAATATCAAAAGCTACGTTATATACATGAATAATGCACATGACAAGTTTTTTGTTGTTGTAGCAATTTTCAATACTACGATGTATTGTTATACCTGTAAAAGAGCGGAAAAAAAAACTGACCTTCATCACTATGCCGTCTTCCATAACAGTTCAGACAGTGTTCTATCATGGCTCTAAACAAGGAAATTGAGGAATATTTAAATGTTAATGATTGTTTTGGATTGTCTGCTCTTTTTCTCCATTCCAAAAAGGGCTGCACAATTTTGGGGGAAAAACTGAGTGTGATATATAATTTTTCTGCAACTCAATTGCAATTTTGAGTAAACTTTCAGCAAAATGAACTGCCCTAATTGGAAAGACCTCATAATTTTAGATTGATTGGGATGATTTTGTGGAAACATAATAAACATGATATAATAAACCATATATAGTTAAAGTCAGAATTATTAGTCCTCCTGAATAATTAGTCCCCCATTATTTAAAAAAAAATATTTTTCTAAACCGTTCTACACATAATAGTTTTAATAACTAATTTCAAACAACTGATTTCTTTTAACTAAGTTATAATGACAGTAGGCATTAGACAATAACCGTTTTCAAGGTATACCGTGGTTTGGAAAAGTCAACGTTTTAAAACACTCAAAATTTTCTGTTAAACCGTTCCTTTTGTATGCAAGATTTTTTTTGCTGTTTTTTTAGGACAACAGTATCTCTAGCAGAAAAGATGTCCAAAGATGTTTTAAATTGTAAAGAAATCTGTGTTTTTGAAACTAATGAGAACCAAGCAATAGTCAATAATTTATTTTAATTATTTAGAGATGTTTACTGCTTCAAAATATTTTAAATGCTACTCAAAATAAAATATATTGTGTTCAAAAGGGAAAAAAGTTTTTGTTTTTTACCCAGACATTTAAAAAGAAAATATTTTTTAAAGCAGTGATCACAATACCATCAAAACGTGAAATATTTTTATCCAAGGGTATCATACCGTCAGAATCTTATACCGGCCCATGTCTAAATGACAGTACATAATATTTTACTAGATTTTTTTAAAGATACTAGGAATTAGCTTAAAGTGCAATTTAAAGGCACTTAACAAGATTAATTAAGTTGGGGTAATTAGGCAAGTCATTGTCTAACAGTAGTTTGTTCTGTAGACAATCGAAAAAATATTTCTTAAGGAGGCCAATAATATTGACCTTAAAATGGTTTTAAAAAAAGTTAAAAACTAAATATAAATATTATAGCAAATGCTTTAAAACTCCTTGCTTTGTTAAACATCATTTGGGAGATATTTAAAAAAGAACAAAAAACTGTAAAGGAGGGCTAATAAATTTACAGTGGAGCAAAGATACAAATAAATAAATAAAGAGCATATTATGGATTTCATAGAGTGTAACAGTATTCAGGCAAAAATTAAATAATCAAATGTAAAATGATACTGTAGAGTATTCATCATGCTGAAACGATATATTGTGCAGCCCTAATACCAGTCTCAATCAAAACTCACTTTGGCTCAAGGGACCCCAGCTCTTCCAAACAGACACTGAGGGGAACTTTGCTGAAAGACCAAGACTCTGAGTCCACCAGCTGCGTCACGTGACCCAAGAGCTTCATCTCATAATCAAAATCCATAATCCTCCAAAATCCTGCAAACACATCCCAGTCAAAACAACTTCATCTACAGTTAAGACACTACACTTCTAATAGGGAAATACTTTTATTTTACGGATACAGTGCATCGATTGATGATTCAAACTGCATTAGAGATGTGGTCAAGAAGAGGCTCCAATATATAATTCAAGAGGACATAAAATGAAATGTATACTAATTTAGTTGTTATTCCACAAAACTGAAAATTAAATGGTATCAAAGTCTACTTTTTAAGTGTTATTGATGGAATACTGTACATAAATCCATATACTGTACAGTGATATGCAACAGCGATGTTTAGTCCAGCTTATCAAAACATAATAAACTTTTTTTGTATAACATAATAAAATCCATTTTTCAAAACAATTCAAAATAATGTTGTCAGTTAAATACCTAAACCATGTTTAGTGTATTTCTTCTCCCAATAAAACATATTCCTCATATTGTGATGGTTATATTGTGCAAAAGTTCTTTGTTCTTTGGACAGACCTTTTGTCTACTACTACCACAATTACAATTATTCATCAAAATAAACATGTATATTCTATGTAAAAGAGTGAATCTTGAAAAAGTAATTAGTCATCTATTTCAACCAGAACAATAATCAAACCAAGAAACTGTCTTCAGTATATTAAAGAGCCCCTATTGTGGGTTTTTGAAAATGACCTCCCATGCAGTGTGCAACACAGCTCTAAGTGAATGAAAACGTCCAGCTGAGGTTTAAATCTGAAAGTGTAATTTGTTTAAAACTATTTAAAAACATTTATAAAAGAGACTCAGAGTTGTTTATATAAAACATCATTCATCTGGATCTTTTGCCTGTTCGTATTAACTTTGACACGAAACAATACCAAATATGAACTGCCGGATCCAAGGTTTAAGGTTATTTTCAAGACATTTTAGATTTACATGGTTAAGTAAAAATAACCCATCAGCTCACCGTCAATTTCACAAGCGTGAACATTTCCAAGATGTGCTTCCAGTTCTTCTTTACTTGCTTGGATTCTCTCAAGAAGGTCTTCCATACTGTACTAAAATTTAATAATAATAAAAGATCACTTTTTGTGCAAACACAAAGCAAATACACCAAACATGTAAACAGGTATGACATGAGATAATAGAGAAATGTAGGCATATTTTGTGTTCAAGCTATGGATGCATGATATTTATTGCATACAGCAATATGTTAAGGCTTGATACATCCACACTTGATAATGTATAATTATTTTAAGCCTGTAGTTCTAGACAGTATGTACTGTATAGATTAAGCATTTTTGCTATTTTTGTTTCATTTACATGGTTGTAACCAGCAGATGTCCTCAGTTTGCTACATTTCTAGAACATGTGACCAGTAAAACTAGCTAATATACTATAATTTGTATCAGTGGATCTAGCTAAGATACTATAATTTATCTACCATATTCAATATACTGGAATAAAAACTAAATATTTTTGTTCACAGCAGCTTCAAAAAGTTGTGGTACATACATGAGGCACTTTTAACTTTTATGTGACATTGTTTGCTATCCTGGTTTGCATAGTCTCTGGTAATACTTCAACATTGATTCTGAAGCTATTACAGATTCCAGATGTCAATAATCATATATTAAAGCATCTTTAAAAATGCTGTTTAACTTATCAAGCCGGACTCAATAAGCTAAAAATAAGTTTTCTGCTGCTATTACACAGATCCTTTATGCAAATGTTTGTCTTCTAGGAAACCTGTGTCTTCTTTAGCTTATGAAGGCCAGTACTTAAAGAAAAATATATAAGCTTTATGCCAAGTTAGAAAAATGTACATTTTTTTTCAGTCTTTATACTGTTCACATGTTTTCACCACAGCTCTTAAAGCTCCAAAAAGTTTACTTTACTCACTATTTACTCATCCTCAAGTGGTTCCTTAATTGGTGGTTAATTTCTTTTTAAGTTGAACACAAAAATGATGTTTTGAATGGAGCTGCACACTGGTAACCATTGCTATGCAAAGTAAGTAAAATTATACTATGGAAGTCAATGGTTAAAGGTTTTCAACATTTTGCAAAATATCTTCTTTTGTGGTAAACAGAAAAAAGAACTTTCAACTAGTTTGAAACAAGGGAATGATGAAAATATTCAGTTTTGGGTGAACTAACCCTTTAGAGTCTTTTTTTTTAAGAGTTTTTTGGAGTATCAGTGAACATTTGAATTAATTCTCTGACTAACCTACTCGGTGTTAAAAAGATGGAACTCAAAAATCACAGAATCATTTTTGAAAGAGTTGAAATACAAAAAAATGCTGAAAAGAAAACATTTGTGGAACCTGAAGGATTTTTTTCTGAAGAACAAAGCAGCAAGGAACTTATGAACAACCATCACCAAACAAACCATGTGGAGAATTTAGCATAACTTATAACACAACATACATTTTTTTTTTATTCAACTATTTATAGTCTTACTGTCTTTTGTGGACTACATGTCTTTAAGTGCAATATTACATTGATTCTGAAATTCTAATTCAAATCTATTTTGCTCTTTAATCTATCTAACAAATTTATTTTACCATAAGATGGAGATGTATGCTTACAAACAGCCACACTCTGCCACTTCCTTACAACATACCACTTGATTGCAAGACAATGAATAATAAAGTGAATTATGTAATGAAAACGTTCAAGCAAATTAAAAAAGTGTTTACATTAATCCAATGGCATAATAGCCGTGGTGCAAATACATTTGACCACATACAGTACAAGACCTAAAGCACAAGCTCTACTTTGTGCTAACGATTGTATGATTAAAAACTAGGCAAGACCGCCACCTGCTGTTTAAAACTAAGCTCAGCATCGATCACGATACATTCCAAAAATTTAGGTACCAATCCATGAATGATAAAACATCAATTTATCTTCCAAGCACTATGCAATATCTTATTCAGGTCAGTAACATAACATGTTTTGTACAATTCCTCTTATTTTTGGTAAAATATTGAACATTTCGCAGATTCTGTAAGGGGTATGATACATTTTGACTTCAACTGTATGTATTGCTATTTCAATATCAATTGCAAATGTACAAGACCACTTCCGGGGCATAATATTTTTCTGTGACTATTACACATCCCTAATACAAGCTAACGACTACCATCATGTCTATGTATCATACTTTCAGTCCCGGTGCCTCCTCCTGCATGCCGACTGGCGGACCATCATATGGATTCTCCATCAGAAGTTTCTTCAGCTTCTTTAACCTCGGTCTCTGCCTTCTCAGCTCCCAGTAACAGTTTGAAAATCCCCAAATCTGCAAAATAAAGCTTATTTGTTAATTCACACAACATTTACATCATCGCTTAAGATAAAAATACATCATTTCCTCAGTCACCTGTGTGTGCATGAGCTGAGGAGATGCTGGGATGTCAGACAGCTGATCTGGAGTTTTACATCCTGGGACAAACAGCAGCAGATTTGAGGTGTCTGCGATTTTCAAGTCGTATGTTTTGTCCTCACTGCACAGAACTGCATGCTCGTCTTTATCACCTCTGATAATAAGGCTAGTGAAAAGAATAAACACACATAACAGATGAATAAATCTCAGCCTTAAAGAGATGGTTCATCCAAAAAAATGATAATTCTGTCATTAAGTATTTTCCTTTGACTTAATCTAAATCAAACATGTAAGGGCTCTGGATACAGACCTGGTGCAGATGCAATCAGAGCTATATGCAATGCTTTTTAATGGGCTCACCAAACCCCACCCCGAACCCTACCTCTCGCAGTGACGTCACTAGCTCCACTGAGTGCATTGTGTCTGACATTGCATCTTTGAGAAATGTAATCTCAGATTGCATCATAAAGGCTGCATTCAGACACTAGATAACCATTCATTTCCATTGCATTTTTTTTTTTTTTTTACCTATTATGGAGCTGATGCAGCTGCTAAAGATGCTTTGAAGCAAGTAGTGAACAAATGCCAAATTCCTCCGTCAGAGATGAAAACTTTTATCAACGCTTACATTTTAAACAAGTGGCAAAAGGAATGGGATGCATTAGAAAACAATAAACTACATGAAATCCAACCTGAAGTTTCACACAGAATTTTAAGACATTTTAAGAATCGATTTGATCAAGTAGTTTTTACCAGATGTCGTATTGGGCATACGAGAATAACACATGGTTTTTTGCTCCAAGGTGAAAACCCTACTCAGTGTTTGTGCTGCAAAACTCCTCTTACTGTAAAACATATTTTACTGGACTGTCCTGCTTTTACTGATTCCAGAAGGACTTTTTATGAAATGAACTCTTTTAAGGACATTTTTGACAAAATAACACCCGAAAAGATTTTAGAATTTTTATCATGTATTAACACAAAAAACTTATTTAATTTATGTTTTATTTTGTTTGTTGATTTTTAAATTTTATATTTATTGTTGAAAGATTCCTGCCATGAAGATAGCCTTGGTTGCTGACATGACACTAAATAAAAAATACATTACATTACATTTACCTATTATGGACATTAGTAGTTACAGGTTTTCAGCTTTAAAAAAAATCTTCTTTTGTGTTCAGCAGAGGAAAGAAACTTAAAGGTTTATAACCACACAAGGGTGAGTAAATAGTAAGTTTTCATATTGGGGTGAGCTATCTCTTTAAGAAAAAGAGGTGCATTAAGATACCTTTAATCTGCTCCTGTAGTGTACTTGTCTTCAACATCTAGGGCTCTATTTTGACGGTCCATGCGCAGAGTGCAAAACGCAGGGCGCAAACGCTTTCAGGGCGTGTCAGGGCGCGTTTTTGCTAATTTAAGGACGGGAAATCTGCCTTGCGCCAAGGCGCATGGTCTAAAAGGGTTGAGTTTATTTTCTTAATGAGTTATATGTGTGTTTTGAGAATAAACCGATTAGAGTCTCATCTCCCATTCCCTTTAAGAGCCAGCTGCGTCGCGCCAAGAGCGCATTCGCTATTTACAGGACGCAAAGTAAGTCTAAGTGGAAAAAATTAGCATTTCACAAGCAAACAGTTAACAGTGAACAGTTTTTTAACAGAAAACTGTTAAACAGAGCATCTACTGCGTGAGAATGAAAGATAATGGATCACTTTCACTTTTGGATAGGGAAACCTTTACGCACAGACATCAATTAGTCTATAAATAAATAATTTTGTTTGTTAAGCGCAAATATTCGATTCAAAACTATTTCAGTTATAATTTCCAGCAAACAAATAAATGAATAATAATAGCAAAATGTGCTCAAAAACCTGAGTTATATCCTAAAACACATGCTGTGCCCCATATGGTCTAAAACCTGACAGGTGGGCAAATCTAAGCTTGTTTTTAATAAAACAAATATAAATATGGATATAATAAATAATACTGCTAATAATAATAACATTATACACAAGCAAATTGTTATGAATGAACTGAAAAAGCCTCCCGAGATGAAGAAGACATTAAAAGCAGTTTTTTTTCATATTTATGTAGGCTAGAAAATAATAAGCTTTGTAATATTTTAATCCTTTATATTTATATCCTAAATCTATTCTTATTATATCCTATATATATCCTTAATATTTAAATTTTTTCATATGTAAAGATATTTGCCTATTGCTCTCTTGTGCGTAATAAGCAGTACGTAAGCGAGGCGCAACTCTGCGCCGGAGTTTAGACCGGGTTAGTTTTGGTCTAATGAAACATCTATTATAGTCTCTCAAAATAGCAACGCGCCAGCGGTCCACCTCAGAACGCCTTCTTTTTTAGACCAGAACTCCTATGGGTGCACAAATGAGCGCTAATTCATTTGCAGGGCTCGAAATTGCGACCATTTTGGTCGCATATGCGCCTGAAAATTAATCTATGCGACCGCATAATATATTTGGGCGCATTAGTGCGACTGCAGATAATGGTTGAGTGAGACCTGTTTTGATTTTTTTGTAAAAACGTGCTGAATCGCTCTTCCCTGCTGCCGCTATATTGGTTTCTATTAGCTGTCAATCCCTCAAGGTATTCCGCTGTCAGATGACAGGGAAGGAGTTTTGATGACCACGGGAAATGCAAACGGCTGAAGAGTAAAAACTTAAAGCACACAGGTTTGCAAACCCCACCTAAAGTTGAGGCGCAGATGAAAGCAATCATGACACGTCACGTGGTGAATAATGATCCACCAGCTGAGATCAATCGAGTACGCGCTTCTTGGAGAAGGCACTCGAATCTCCATGCGTTGCATTCACTGCGTGTTCAGCGCAAATGTCCGCTAAAAGTCAAATCTAATACTGTACATATCATCGCCAAAGAAGCTTGCCTTTACCAAGTTTACACTGAAACTGCGGCTCATAACAAAGAGCGGTATTGCGCCGGTTGTCATCGCAAGAATCCTGCTCTGCCTGCTCATAAATTGGGTCGGCTGACTCGCCAGCTTTTCCATTAACACAGAAAAATGAAGATCATCTCAGACAGAACCTTTAAATTGACACAAACTGAAACCAAAACTTTTAAAGAGTGATAGAAGTGAGATTTTATTTACTTTCTTTTGTCTATTCTTTTTTGAGGTGTATATTATTTTTTTATTTATTTACTGATGACTTTGCAGCTTTCATCATTGAATTGAATGATTTAATATAATCTTTTGTTTGTTTTGTAGCAGAAATATTATTTATTAAATTGACATGCATATAAAAACAGCAGTACAAAATCAATATTTCTTACTGCAATGCTTTATTTTTACAAGGCAGTATCATAATGAGAAATGTAATTCATTGTTACTATTATTGTTATTTTCATCATCATTAATATTCTATGGCCTAATTATTAGACATTCATTTTGGAATTATTGCACACAAATATCAATGTCTTCGCAGCATTAGTTAGATAGTTGTTTCTGGTTTTTGTCAGTCCTATTGACGTTGTTTTAAAATACAATAAATCCCTTAAAAAACAATTTGCAGCGGTGCTCATTCATTTTTGGTGGTTGCTCCTAAATTTTTTCTGGTGCTCCTAAAAATTTTTTTGGTGCTCCTAAATATTTGAAGTTGGGAGCACCGGTGCTACCAAGTAAAAAAGTTAATTTCGAGCCCTGATTTGCTATTTAAACAGCGTAGCGCAACGCCTCAAAAGGACTCTTGCGCCAAGCTGAAACTACCAAAAGACTATTGCGCAGCGCCTTGCGCCACACTGCGCCGGGTGTATGATAGGGCCCCTAGTGCCCCTCAGTGTATGTGCACATGTAAGGCAAGTTTATTTATATAGTTCATTTCATACACTGTGGCAATTCTAAATGCTTTACATAAACAAGAATAAAAAAGTCAAGTATAATAAAATAAAAAGCAATAATAAAAATTATTAAAAAACATTAAAATGTGTTCTGTGTGTTTTGGCAGTTGCCATGTAAACATAAACAAACACATAAATCATAAAACATACTTGGTGTTCTACACAGTCAAAAATGTTTTATAAAAGTCATGCAGAAATGTCACCACATTCAAATTTAAAAACAACTTATGATTTATGCCTTGTTTTTTTGTTTGTTTTTTTCAATTCTGTATTAGAATAAAGTTTTGGATATGTATATCATATTAATATTAAGTTCATAAATGTATAACAACCAATACACATTATACATACTTTAGTACCATGTATATAAAAATAGACAATATAAAAGAAAATAACTAAAATTTAGTGTATTTATTTCACTAAATAATAAAAATGACTGCATCATTTTTCAATAACAATAAATAATTTAAAGGCCATAATTCTAACATTCTAACAATATATTACATTCAGTTAGCATCATGATACCATCTTAATATCTTATTTCCATAGTAATTCATTTAACGTTAGCCTTTTTAATGTGCATTTTTTTCACAAGACAATGCAAAACGTAAGTTCTATAGCGACGTTCATAAATGTAACGTTAATTGTTGAGACGATCATCTCAAATTATACTAAAGCTGAGCATTCATCTTTCAAAACGAAGCAATGTAACAATCATTTTGCTACCTCTTTCCTGATTCAATGTGCTTGCAGAGATTCTCATCCACCTCCATGAGACAGTAATCGCCCGACGACACATTATCTCCGAAAGATAGACAGTAAGTGACGGGCTGCAGGTCTTCTTCTTTAACTTTGGCGATTTGTAGCGTTCCCTGAACCTCTTCTAAAGTCCTCATGCTGTCAGAATTACTTTTATCCAGACCGACTGAACACAAACACGTCTGCTGTTGTCAGCGATCAACTTTCCCGCAATATTTGAGCCGGAAGATGATGCCGTTGATCGACAGTAGTTTGAACCAATGAGCGTGAACCAATTCAGGCTGGCGCGTAATATTGTGTAAACGTCACGTGTCCACTAGATGGCGCTGCATAACACATTTCACCACGTGTGTCACTGTTACGTAATATTATTGTTTTGATGCTGGCAAAAATGTGCGTTGTAGAAAATTATGAATAAAAAAGACAAATAAAATATAGATAAAATAATAAAATGAATAAATAATTAGTTGTTAAATGTTATTAATAGTGGAAATTTACAAGTTTACTGTTCACAAAATGAACATTCAGTAGCTATATTAAAATGGTTCCAGTCACATTCTTTATGATTTTAAACATGTAAGGTTGTTGTTTTTTTAAAATAAAAATAGTTATTAATTTGGATTTTTAATTAAAAGATTCAGATGAGAAAAACACACAAAATGCTAATACAAATGCATGTTTTGAAGTCTTTTTTTTTGCTATTTATTGTTAAATTAATTGCATAAGTCTGTTGTGACCGTTCTGTTTATTCGTTTTTAACATAAACATTATTCCAGACATAATAAATTTATAATAAGTTTAATAAACCTGAATTAAACGTTTCAACAGTATACAACAACTACATATAATATATTATAAAATATTTTACTACTTATCCTTTATCTTTTGCTCGTTTGCAAAAACATAAAACACAATATATATATATTTAATAAGTATATGAATCCTTTCATTTCTTTTGCCTGGGCATTTAAAGTGATTGAGTGATGTGCTCAAGCTCCGCCTCTCATGGTAAACTCCCCCTGTTGAGGATGGTCAAGTTGACTCGCCCTACATGGACAGTAACGTGCTTTCAGTGAAGAATAGTAAACAATCCACAATGCCATGAAGAAAATACATCATCTGGGGTCTTTGTTCAGGAATAATCTTTAGTTTGAATCCTCGACGTGATTTATTGCACGATTTTGGGGTTCATTTTGCACACGACGGGATATAGGCTACTGTTGGCTGAACTGAGGGCACTTGATGGCACACAAAAAAACAAGTTATTCCGAGTCGTTTTGCGCTGTGATCAAGATTACAGTGATGTTCTTTTATTGACACCGCTGGTATTGTTCTGCGAAGCATAAGACTGAGGTTTCTGCATCGGAACCAAGGTAAATATTCTCGTCGCTTGCTTGTTTGTTTCGATGTCCTTTAACTTATGGGATGATTCGGATGACATAATATCTTTTCATTCATCTGACCAGTCCGTCCAGCTCAAATTTTAAGGCTGTCATAACAATAATCACGCCTTACAAAATATGTCATGAGGCGTGTTCTAAAATGAATACAAGCTCAAGCACGCTGTGCATGTCAACTAATTCTCAAACAGTGTTTTTTTTCATTCAGGCGTTGAATAATCACATCAGAGTGCATGATTTGGTATTCAGCGCGGCTGTCAGAGATGGACGGCATCGGGAACACCATGCAGAAGAAGGCTGCTGAGCTGGAGCGCATGGCCGAAGTCCTCGTTACCGGAGAACAGTTACGGTAGGTGTGGCTTTACACCCCAATTACACCGTAGCGACTAGTCAGAACGAAAAACCTAGCGTTTATGCATGAACTGCGCGCGACGTCGAAGGTTTGTCGCGTCGCTGTCATTAGAGCTCTTTAACTCTTGCAATGTGACCTCTTAAATATTAAATGGACAGTAATAGTGTGCACATATGCTAGTGCGAATTAAAATGTGTACAATCTGCTTTATGGTATCATTCACGTGTAGTTCTCACCTATTAGTAGGGCCAGACGGAATCTGCGGACGTTTTTTGCTATTTCTGCTGAGAATTTGGGTAAAACTCTGCGGATTTCTGCTGAATTATTTTGGTAGCATCATAACTATAACCTTAATATGTGAAATGAAAAAAAAAAATATATTTTTTAACTTTTATTTCATGTTTAAAATGCAAATCCGATTAGATTCACTTTATTTGGTTAACAAAGTCTCTCATAAAATATATCTACTAAAAGACAGAAAATATTACTGTACAAACTGCATTGTACTTAAATCAGATGAACCTTTTCATATTAGTTAATAATGTTACTGTAAATAAAAATGGAAAAATATAGATTTCCAACATTTACTCAAGTAAATAAACAGAATTAATGATGGGCTAAAAATCTGCAGAATTCTGTGGAATTCTGCGCGCGCAGATTCCGTGTGGGCTTACTTATAAGTCATTAGCTGATACAACTTTTAGATTGTATTGGAAAGTCACTTTAAATTAACTATTTGCAGTTGTTGTTTTTTTCTATAATTTTGCAGTATTTCTTGTAAAATATTCACAATTGCTCATTTTTATTTTTCAATAATGTGCATCCAGTTTTTTTAATTACAATAACTTCCCATCCCTGACCCCACACAAACACTGCACTCAGAGACTTTGGGCCCTATTATACACCTGGCGCAATGTGGCGCAATAGTCTTTTGCTAGTTTCAGCTTGGCGCAAGAGTCGTTTTTAAGGCGCTGCGCTACGCTGTTTAAATAGCAAATGCATTAGCACTCATATGTGCGCCCATAGGCGTTCTGGTTGTTATTTTGAGAAACTATAATAGATTTTTCACTACCAAAACAAACCCGGTCCAAACTCCAGCGCAGAGTTGCGCCTCGCTTACGCACTGCTTAATACGCACAAGAGAGCAATAGGCAAATATCTTAACATATGAAAAAATTTTAATATTAAGGATATATATAGCATATAATACGAATAGATATAGGATATAAATATAAAGGATTAAAATATTACAAAACATATTATTTTATAGCCTACATAAATATGAAAAAACACTGCTTTTATGTCTTCTTCATCTCGGGAGGCTTTTTCAGTTCATTCATAACAATTTGCTTTTGTATAATGTTATTATTATTAGCAGTATTATTTATTATATCCATATGTATATTTGTTTTATTAAAAACAAGCTTAGATTTGCCCACCTGTCAGGTTTTAGACCATATGGGGCACAGCATGTGTTTTAGAATATAACTCAGGTTTTTGAGCACACTTCGTTAATATTGTTAATTTATTTGTTTGCTGGAAATTAGAACTGAATTTAGAAATAGTTTTGAAATGAATATCTGCGCTTAACAAACAAAATTTTATTATTTACAGACTAATTGATGTCTGTGCGCAAAGGTTTCCCTATCCAAGAGCGAATGTGAAAGTAGATCCGTTATCTCTCATTCTCACGCAGTAGATGCTCTGTTTAACAGTTTTCTGTTAAAAAAACTGTTAACTGTTTGCTTGTGAAATGCTAATTTTTTTCCACTTAAACTTAGGCTACTTTGCGTCCTGTAAATAGCGAATGCGCTCTTGGCGCGACGCAGCTGGCTCTTAAAGGGAATGGGAGATGAGACTCTAATTGGTTTATTCTCAAAACACACCTATAACTCATTAAGAAAATAAACTCAACCCTTTTAGACCATGCGCCTTGGCGCAAGGCAGATTTCCCGTCCCTTAATTAGCAAAAATGCGTCCTGACACGCCCTGAAAGCGTTTGCGCCCTGCGTTTTGCACTCTGCGCATGGACTGTCAAAATAGAGCCCTTAGTTTTTAATATATGTTTAAATCATTTTTAATGTTTATAAAACTCACTTTTTCACTTTTCATTGACTTATTCCCTTCTTTCATAAAGGGTTGCCACAACGGAGTGAACCCCCCATTAGTTCACAAAACAGACCTTTTAAATACATGTAACAATTTCTAGACCAAATGCTGTTTAAATGAGGTCTGCTATATAGGTTCCCTCTTTGACTTCTCTGATGATGTGACACTGACATGAAGGTATGGCACATGGTCACTCACATGAGATCTCAATAGAGTGAGTGTCTGTCAACTTTTTTTTTAGCTGTTTTTTATTTTCCTAAATTTTCATTAATCTTTCATTTTTCATTGTCATAGGTTTAAAAATCCTGCAAGTTAAATTATATATTCAGTTGAATAACAACCTTAGAACTCACAACAAGTTTGTCTTTAATTGTTAAACAATAATTTCTATGAGTTTTTACCTGAAACCTGACCTGAATCATTCACAAAGCTTCTGCTGTTGTGCACTGCAGAATCTTGCCATATAGGGTCATCCAGGTACTTTTTGTTTGCTGTTTTTTAAGTACTGTAAATTTAGACATAAAACAATTTTAACAAGAACTTCACTTTTTAGTCATCTCAACTTCAGTCTAACTGACTAAAAACATTAGATAAAGTTTTACATAAATAAAAAACGTTTTATATATATATAAAAATATATATTTATATATATATATATATTTTTTTTTTTTAATTATACATATATATATATATATATATATATATATATATATATATATATATATATATATATATATATATATATATATATATATATATATATATATATATATATATGTATAATTTTTTTTGAAGTATATTATATATTGGATGTAAGTTTTTTCATTTAAGATTTATGCAGAAATCTTCTGTAATATGTTTGTGGCTCTATCCGTTCTCAGACAGCTGCTCCTATGTCAACGGACTGTGACAGTGATAGTGAAAGGAGCATAAGTGTTTAGTCAATACATCTGATTAATGATTGCTGAAACAGTACCAGACACAGCTGTCTTATAGACTGTCTAGCAACTTCAAAACATATTACTTCATTACAAAATGGGTAAAAAATACTGATTCTTTGATTTGAATCAGCCTTCAATTTAACAAAACAACAGTTATTTGAGAAAACCAAAGTTAATTTTTAATCCTTAGGCTCAACTTCAAAGGATGTCATTATTTTTTGCACTTCACCTCTCTTCCTAAAGATGCCCCATCTTTTGAGTTATCCAGCTTAAAATAATAAAAACAGAAAAAAAATTAATATCTGTTGATCGTGGCAAAAGATCACCGTTGCTAAATTTAATAGTGAAGTACAGTCTGATAAAATATTTCATGATCTAAGACAACGACTGTAAAGATGACATTGACAAAACTACTGTCATTTGCAAGTTGCCCACAAGTGCTAATAACATGTCTACACCAAACGCAAGCAGCGCGACTCTTTCTAAACTATGTAAATTGTTAACTACAATTGATGCCCCTTTCTATTTCTAACGTGCTCGAAGCACCACTGACACAGAGAACAAATACATTTCAAATGCTTATAGCCCCATCCAGTGTAAACAGCTTCCAAATATCTTGTTTAGTATAGACAGTTTGTACACATTTTCCAGACAATGGTTTTATACTCCTGTTTTGAATGTTTTAATCCTTAAAATACATTTTTTTAAACTTGTTATTAAATTTTAATGTTACATGCATACATTTTTTTTACATTAATGCTAATTGTGCAGTTAAATTGTGTTTGTCACTCAAAAAAAGGTAAACAATAAAAAAAATGTATAATTCTAAAGTATATATTATATAAACAGTGTTGCCAGATTGGGTGGTTTTGAAGTTGATTGTGCGGGTAAAAAAATGCATGGTGGGTTGACAAAATTTGGGCGGTTTTGAAACGTAACTTTTATATGCAACTTATTCAACAAAGCATAACTGTGTGCTCCTACTCCATTTAGATAATAGCAACCAGTATATAGCGCAAACTGCATTGGCTCACTTGCAAGAGTAGGTGAAGGAAAGTTGTATTTAAATCTGACTCCCCGGACAAATCTGACTCTTACAGCAGTTTATCATGACACTTTTATCGATCATTTTTTCCACAATTGACAGCAAGAACAAACATAGAAGCATCGTCTAACTGACAAGCAGCACCTAATTTTGTTCAAAAGACTTTCAAACGCCAAATAGGATGAATTAATTACCCATTTCGAAAGTAAAACATACTCTAATAGATAGTGTAATTTACGCAATATTTAGTGCTGTGTGTGGCTGAGGCGAGGGCAGTGTTTCGATGTGATCCAGTTATGTTGTGGTTCTGTTGACTGCTGGTGTTGGTTGCTGTTTGGTTAAAATTATGGCAGTTAAAGTAGCTATGTAAATTTAGCATCGTGGCGGGTTTTGGACAGTTTTTCGGTTGGAAAAAGTCAGCTATTTCTGGCAACACTATATTTAAATTATAAGTAATTATTAACCATAATTGTGTGAACTGTTTTAATGCAAATGTCTTATCTTTAATGAGTTTGTTTGAGTAAACATTCAGCTCAGCAGTTTTGAATTTATATTTAAATATTTAAAACTATTGTTTTAAATCAAATATTGATGAATTTTAATATCTGATATTGAATAAAAATCAAAATCGAATCTAAACATGAAAGACCCAGACCTATTATTTACACTTTTTTTCTTTCTTTCTTTTTTTCCATCTATAAACATTTATGTGAGATTCAGCATCCTAAATGTGCATTTGTATCTGGTGTATATAATAATAGTACTATTATTATTAATGGATCTTTGACAAGTATTAGGTATCATTTTTACCTCCAAGTTGTGTGAGAATATCTGTTATTGTAGGTCATAGTGAACCAGTTTAATCTGCCGGTTGCTGGTATCACTTCCACTTTCTATGTACAGCTGACTCAGGTTTGTATAATCAGTTATCAGGCAGTGACAGCAAACCCACATTTTGCCCTGTGCACAGCTCAGGTTAACCTGCTTCAGGTATCAGGCCATCAGGTTCACCTGCCCCTTTTCTATGTTTGCTGCTTGGACAGGTGTAAATAATCAGCAAGGGTAAACATTGACAGACTATAAAAAAGAAGAAGAAATTTTTGTATTAATTATAAATTAAACAAATACGAGATACAATTTTAAGTAAGTAATTTATTGTAGGTTCAGAATGTTTTCCAGGTAAATGAATGAATGAATAACTACACTGAACAAAACAAAAAACAACAACAATTATAAAGACAAAAAAGAAATGCAAACAAACATCATTATTACATCAGTTCCTCTAGTATTATACAGTACATGGGTCAACAATGTTACACATATATATATCTAAGCCAGTGGACACAGGCAAAATGGTGATCCTGCAGATGATGACAGGGTTATACATTTAAACTTGGCATTTGACAGATAATATAAAAAGGGTTTCCAAGTGGCTTTGAAGCCAGCAATGTTATCAAAAACGGATATAGTGTTGATATAATTCTGCACATTAATTAATACATTTTCCAGTTGGTCATCTCAGGTCAGTTTTGTTGGTTAAGTTATTGTAGGTAACATTATATATATATATATATATATATATATATATATATATATATATATATATATATATATATATTTGATGTTAATACAGGCAAGGTGTGCAGATTTCAAGTTTTATTCTGTGCAAAAAAAGGTTAATTTCTCACTATTTTGGTTAGCATTTGTAGCCACACTTTTTATTTTTGAATGCAGTTTTTCAATATAAATAGAAAGACATATTTGAAACCAAATTAGCTCATGTAACATTTGATGAACTGCATGCAAAACATGAAATGACCAATAACCAGTCATTATTTGGATCATTAATTCCAAATTGATGTAGATCATAAACTTTAACCACATTGCCTTTGGAAAACACCAGTCATATAGCTGTCATTTCACTCAGGTACTGTTGCAGCATGTGTGTCAGATTGCTGTATTGTTCAGTGTCAGAAAGTGCCAAAGTGCACTTTAATGGTGTGAATACCTGGCTGCAGTCATGTGAGTCTTTGAGTGTTCAGTTACTTGGCTGCCCTGCTCCGTTGCACCGACTGCTTGTTGCTGATAATATAATTTCACATATGTATCTATCTGTGTCAGGACAAGATATGATGGCTTCTTTGGGGTGTGTGATCTTTGGCAGCACACTTTTAGCATTTTTATAGTTTAGTTGTAATTTTCAGAGTGAGCACATTGAAGTTAGGACAGTTCACAGTTGTTGAATGATAATTTTGTCATTTTCATATTTACCCTCATGTCTTTAAAGACCTGTATGCCTGGCTTTCTGTCTGCAAAAAACACAAAAGTAGATTATTTTTTAATTTAATAAACTATTTCTGCCACATAATGGAGATCAGTGGGCTTACAAATGTTACACACTTTTAATTATTTTAAAAAAGGTCATTTTATTTACTATTTAATGATTGATTGATTGATTGATTGATTGATTGATTGATTGATTGATTGATTAATTGATTGATAGGAGAAATGGTTTAAATTGTGGCAGAAATTTAATTTTTGGGTGAATGATTCCTTTGTTGATTTTAAGTAAAGGTGTTCATTTCTTTCAAGAGTTAACTTGATTGTGACTAGGGTTTGGCCCATTGTCATAAAGTAATCTTAATCTTACTCAGAGGATTAAGTGGAAGGTGCAGTAAAGCTCTTACATAAGATCGATGACATAATAATGATGAATACAATTAGACAAGTACAATAAAGTCACGGTAATAACTGTTCTGAGACTAAACTAACACCAAAAGTCACATGTTTGTACTAAACTAAACTAAACTAAACTCTCGCATTTGTGATGATGACCTAAATTTGACGGCCCTTATAATATTTTCTACTGAAAATATGTATTATTTTAATATATCATAGAGAACAGAGCCTCTGCTTTAAAGAAAAATACTAAACAAAACATTTTATTCTTAATTTTCCTATTGTAACAATTTGAATGCAAAATATGTAATATATGAATTATACGTTTATTAAGTGGCATCCTGATGAGCCATAAGGTCTGTTTACTACATCTTTTGTTAGTTTAACATTTAAATTGTGAAATGTGTGGGGTTTGTTTGGCCAGAAAGAATCTGCTGTCATTTTTGGCTATTTCTGTGGTGAATTTTCTAAAAAATCTGAGGATTTATGCGGAATGATTTTAGGAGCATCATAACTAAAAGCTTAATATATGAAATAAAAATATGACATTGTTAACTTTTATTGTTTTAATATTTACAAAGCGAATCCAATAAGATCCACTTATTATGTACACAAAGCAATTCTCTCATATAGTATATGTACTAAAAGACAGAAAATATTACTTTATTAACTGCATTGTAAATAAATCATACTGTATGAACATATCAAAATGACTATTAATGTCACAATAATATTAGTGAAATTAATTTAGAAACTGATTAAATATACATTTACACACATTTACACAAGTAAATACATTGACTCAGTGATGGGCTAAAAATTCTTCACTCAGATTTCTGTGTTTGCAGATTCTGTGTGGGCCTAGTTATGAGTAACATACACATGTAAACTGATGAGTATAAGTGTTTAATGCGCACTTGTGCCTTTTGTCATATCACTCAGCTCATACTGTGGTCTTCTTTTGTGGAGTGAAAAGAAGCCAATATACTTCAAAACCTCATCTATTCATTTAGAGCAGGTCTGCCCAAACTCGGTCATGGAGGGCCGGTGTCTTGCATAGTTTAGCTCCAATATTCTTCAATACACCTGGAAGTTTCTAGTATACCCAGTAAGAGCTTGATCAGCTGATTCAGGTGTGCTTAATTGGGGTTGGTACTAAAATTTGCATGACACCGGCCCTCCAGGACAGAGTTTGGGCAGCCCTGATTTAGAGGCTGCTGTTAACCCTTTGGACCCTTTGTCCATTACAATGGACTTCACATGTCAGCCCATGTTTTTGTGGTTCCTGAAAATTTCATCTAATTTAAAACCTGCAGTCCATGAGAGTGGACGATTGCCATCTAATCAAATGGCAGTAAGGCTTGGCATGTTGTAAAAAAAAAAAAAAAAAATCCCCTACACTGAAAAGCAGGATGGCACCACTTCACTCCAGAAGTGTAGTACTTTACTAAATCTACTCAGCACACGGTAGAACAAACAAGCCACGCCTACTGTTTGCTCATTTAAAATTACGCTTCTCTAGGAACTGGGTCACAATATTAAAAACAAATTTATAGCAGCTTCCAGTTCATATATCCAAAAATATTTACACTTAAAGGGTGTTGAATTTTTATTATTATAAAATGGTCTCATTTATAGGATCCTTAAAAACTGTGAAAACATACTTTTACAATTTTTTAGATACTTGGAACATAATGCGGTTCTGAAGGGGTTAATTCCTGCTTTTGTTTTCATGTACGTTAAAGCTTCAAAGTACAACTTTAAATCTCTGTCAGTATCTTTTGTGGTTTACAGATATCTCACTGCCCTTCAAGGTAACTTCTCAAGTTAAAATAATTTTTGACAATTTAAGTAGTGTCCCTCGTGCTGTGTGTGTGTTTGTTTGTGTGTGAGTGTGAGTGTGTGTGTGTGTAAGTGTGTGTGTGTGTGTGTGTGTGGGTGGGGGTGTTGACAAGCATTGACAAAAAAAAGTTATTTTAGGATGAATATTCATGGGGTGACCCATTTATAGCTTAGCAAATGTAGGTATGGAGGTCAATTTTTAAAAAGTGTGCCGTGATGTTACAGGTTTTGTGTTGCAGGTGATTTGATGCTAATTTCCCCTGATGGGAGGATAACTCTTGGTCTGATTCATTTTATGTTTTCCAGGCTGCGACTGCACGAAGCAAGAATGATTAAAGACAGAAGGCACCATCTCCGCACGTACCCCAACTGCTTTTTGGGCAAGGAGATTATTGATTGGCTGATTGAGCACAAGGAGGCAACTGACAGAGATACTGCCATCAAGATCATGCAGAAACTTCTTGACCACAGCATAATTCACCATGGTGCGTTTGTCCACCATTCACTTGAATTTTGTTTTATATATCATATTATTTTTCACCAAAAATGAAATATTTTATCACAATGTTGTTGCAAATTTGTTCTGAATTTGTCTGAAAATCACACTTGTTTCAATATATAACCAAGGTACATAAAGTGGAGCTACTAAAAATGTTACATAAAAATTATGCATTCAATTCTAAGTAGACTTTTTAATCCAGTTGACTTTGTGCAGTTTATTAGAGCTTCAGTGAAGGGGAAGTAACACTGTTATTTTAGTAGCCCTGGGATTTCAACAATTTAATAATAGTTTTCAATGTATATGTATTACAAATATATGTATTACAAATGTATATTTATACAAAAAAGTTGTAAAATAACAAACTAAGTAAAATAACAAAAACAAATACAAATGCAGCATCGCGATTTACATACTACGTTCTAAAAGTATGTACTTTTTTTGTGAAGAAAGTTTTTTGTTCGCAGTGTGTAGCAAAAGATCTAAAGAAAATCGGCACACTGCCACTTTAGCTCACAACGTTTCCACCGACATGTGCTACAAATATTTGTTTTTCGAGCACCTGCCTTCAAGATTTTCTAGAATCACATTCCTGTTTTTGTTTGAACTGTGTAAAAGAGGAGTATGCAAACTTTAGGGCATACTACTTAGTTAGTCAGGGGCATACTACTTGCTTAGTTATCCTCTTAATCATCTCGACACAATATTCAAATTTCATATTTAATTACCTACCTTATTGAAAATGCAGAGAAATCTCAGGTGTTTGGCAATGTTGGGCAAGCTAATTGGAAAATGTTGTGAGCTAAGCTATTTGTTACTTTGCTTAAAATGTAGCTTAGCTACACTAAAAGCTACCCCCATTTTATATTTTTAAATCGAAGCAACTTCAATCCAAGTCAGTTCTGTCTTAGTGATCAATAAAACTGCTAATGATGCATATGCAGCATAATTGTTAAATTCAGTTATTTACTGCAAATAATATGCTCTTACAAAAAGAAACAAATTTTACTAGTCAATAAAAACAAAAAACAAAAAACAAAAAATAAGAAATCCTGTGTTGCACATTTAAATACTGTAGTAATTTAAAGGGAAATATATAGGAAAGTGTTTTATATAAGCCCCTTTCACACAGTGATATCGGTAAATATCCAGAAATTTTCCGGAACGACTTTACCAGTAAATTCAATAAAACACTGTTCACACAGGCAAGGACGTTACGGATTTTTTTTTGGAAAAGACCGTTCACACATCCATTCTAAAATACTGGTAAATTCTGACATCAGTAACCAAAAATGAGCTCTAAACAGCTGCGCTTGTATTTGTAAACATTTGACTACATCACAAACTCTGTGGATGGATCAGTATTGTGAACAACTTTGATGAAAACATATAGAGAAACATTTTCGCATGTCGAGATGTACATAATATGTGTGTGCTGGCGCTCACTCCTTCACGGGCACACGCGTCAAGCAACTAAAGGAAGGCTTATCATAAGCATCTTATCGATAATTATTTACAAAGTTGCCATTAAGAAGGAACATATAAATGTTATCTGACTAACATCTAGCAGCTTAATGTGTCTAGAGAAATATTCGAAGGCTCTTATTTTTTATAAATCGTTCGGAAACGAATGCGTCTGAGTGTTCTGATTGGCTAAGGCGTCTCACGTCAGTACGTTCTAGACGTGCACGCGCTCTTTCCAGCAGTCTTCCTTTTGCGTTCACACAGCACAGCAATCCGGCAAATTAGCGGTAATGTTACAACTTTTCTTTCTGGAAAATAGCTGGAACGAATTTACTGGTATTTTCAAAAAGGGCCCTTCTGGTCTGCATGTGTGAAAGGGGCTAAAGTGTATATACTGCCAAACACTGTTTGTATAATCATGCATTCAGAAGTTAATGCCTAAACATGTGTTTATAACTCACATTGAGTGTTTATAAATCACATTGTTGTTGCAGATAATAAATACCATGGAAATTGTGGTTTAAATATTTTCCACTTGGCTAGATATTAATAAATAGTCATTCAAACACAGAAAGAAAGTTGGTCTCACGTGTCCACCATGTTTGTGATTTGTTTGTTTTTTACCCGAGTTTGTAGTTCTAATCAACTTCACATCCAATTCGCAATGTATTGTGCCCAATATTAGCAGTTAGATTACAAACGGTCTTACGCTTCAAATGGTAATAGTAGAGCCTTTGGCATACTCTTTTCTAAATACTACGGTTTGGGACATACTAATTTTACTTTCGAATACTATTTAGAACGGACAGTATATTAATTGGGACGCACCACAAAACACAATACAAATGTTTTAACGTAAATAGAGTTAAAAAAGGCAGTTTTTGGTGGAACAATCTTGATTTTCAGTCACAACTAATTATTCTATTATTCTAAAAAAAATGACAATATTTTTGTTAAAATGGAGATTAATGGAGAGAAGATTTTAAACATGAACAATGATTCAATTTTCAAAGGGAGAGTTAATAATTTTGTCTATAGCGCTCAGCATAAATTAGTATGCCCCTTTGAAAATGAATATCTTTATCCATATCTCAGTTAATATAGCCAATAATTTCTGGTGCATTTAAACATATCCACTATACCATATAATCTGTTATGTCCATTAAAATAAAAGTCTGGATACCTAACGTATTTAGCAATCGAAAGATAATACATTTCAATTAAATTGAGTTATTGCATACATTTTTTTGATATTTTGTATTTTCCTCTTAATTTTTTTTTTTAAATTAAAATTGTATTTCATATGTTTCCCCAACATATTAATTTTGGCAGACACATTTTTGGTCACACTTTATTTTGATGGTATGTTTGTTGAATTTAAGTTACATTGCATCTACATGCCAACTAATTCTCATTAGATTATAAGTAGACTGTTGGGGTTGGGGTTAGGGCTAGTGTAAGTTGACATGTATCTGCAAAGTTTCTTATAGTCAGTTAAATGTCTGTTGAAGGAGCAGTGTCAGCAGATATTAAGCAGGCAGTCTACTAATACTCAAATGGAACATCAAAATAAAGTGTTGCCTAATTTTTTTTCTATGTGATTTTAAGTTTTTGTCTAAATAGATTTGTGTGCAAACATGTATATGCATATGAAAAGTCTTTGAGAGAAATAAAAATACAGTTCTGAGTAGAGCTGTGAACCTACACTAGTCTCACGGTTCGGTTACGATTATCATGCCATCGATTTGGTTCAATTCGATATCTCGGTGCATCACAGTGCATTGACGGTGCTTTTCATACACAGTTTTATATTTTCTTCACAGCAGCAATTCTTGTATTAAAATGTATGAATATATTTATATTATATACTATTTGTAATACAATTTTGTCATTTAATACCAACAGCCAGATGTATAAACTGTACCTTTTAACAACACGAGCATTAAGCAAATAATATAAACAAATATAAATATCCCTCTTGCTTTCTGATCCTTGTCTAGTTCTCTTACACACCTTTGATTGGTCACACCTTCAACAAAAACGGTTGCGATTGGCTCTTGTGCGCTGCGCTTTTCACAGATTAGTGACACTGATAAGTGGCAGGCGGCAGCAGCGATCACAGCTGATCAATAACAGACACGGTGGAGAAAACTTTGAAGGCCCGCGTTCGTGTCTGTATTCATAAGTATCGCTGTAAAACAGCCGGGAGGAGGAGAAAAGTCATACCAACAGGTCAAATGGGCCACAGTGTGTGTGTGTGTGTATTTGTGTGTGTGTGTGTGTGTGAGAGAGAGAGAGAGAAATGGAGTACTTTCATTCTCTTAATCACAGTGAAATAGGGGCTTCTGCTGTAAATATCAGCGAAAGACTGATCCAGCAAACACACAGTGAAATTGTGCACAGTTTTTGAGTTTTAAGTAGTTGGAGCGTTGTAAATACTCGCTCTCACGAAAGAGAGATAAGAGATAAATGACGTCAGTAAATAATAACCAGTTATGAATATTACTGAACCAAAACAAATTGTTCGCGTCTGCATCGCGGTGCACCGAAGAAACAAATAATTTTGACACCCCTAGTTCTGAGAGTATTATTATTTATTATGTGGCTGAAACAAGTTGCCACACAGTCCCCACTAACTGTCATTATATTTTTACAGTTTACAGTTTTACATTACAGTTACGATATCATATATATACAGATTTTTACAAAAGAAAATGAGAAGAAAATCATACATCTAATACATTAATAAATCACAATAGCACTGTCCGTCATTTTGGGTGAACTCCCTTTAAAACGTAATTTGCAAATGAACAACAAAATGTAATCTCAGCTGTTACACTGTCTAGTAGACCAGTTTGATGTTTAGCCCATTATAGAAGTGTGTTCATGTGTACTGTTAACCTTTCAGCTACAGTTATAACAAATCTGTTTTGAATGTGTTTTTTCCCTTACAGTTTGCGATGACCACAAGGAGTTCAAAGATATGAAGCTCTTCTTCCGTTTCAGGAAAGATGACGGCACTTTTGCACTGGACAGTGAAGCCAAAGTGTTCATGAGAGGTCAACGGATATATGAGAAGTAAGAACTTTAATCCGTCACTATGATTTTTTGTTTTGTTTTGTGGTCATTGAATTAATAATAGTTTACAAGTTGATTTGATGTCCATTTGTTAAACATTAATAGGATCGTGCTTTGCCTCATCCACTCATTCTATATTGAGTTAGAGCTTGTTATGGTTTTGTTTTTCTCTATTGGGATGCACAGGATGTGATTGTGTTGTTTTTCATTCAAGTGTGACACAAATCTGTACATATTGATTGTACACATTTGGAGGCTGTCCAGTAAATCAACAGTGGCCATAGAAACAGGTTTCGAGCAGATCAAGCATGCTGTGTTCCAGCTGGATACATTTAGAAGGAGCTGCTTTACTTGCTTTAAGTTGTTCCTTGTAGCTAAGTACAAAACAACACTGTTTGCATATACACTGTACAGAGAGAAAATAGTTATTTCAGGGTTATTTTTAGATGAGGGTTATATTTTAGATTTATTTTGTTTTAGTTTTATGTTTTGAGTAATTTTTGTTGTTACAAACTTCTCCTTTAGTGTTCTTATTAATTGAGTAATGTAAAGTACATGGCTTAAGAAAGCATTAGGTAGTTTAGTAATTTAAATATGGGAAAATGTTTATATTGGTTTTGTACACTGTTATTGACTGTTGGTAGAGTTTATGCTTTTATGTAGATCGTTTTAGGTTGTTTTGTCAGATCTGTAAAAAAAAAAAAAAGTCAGCTCTAAATATTGAAATTTGCATAGATTTAATTTAGTTTTATTTACTGGAATTTATTTTATTCCTTCATTCACTTATTAATGTTGCTTAGACACCACATTAGGGGTCACCACAGTGGAATGAACCACTATTGCCAACTATTGCAGCATATGTTTTACACAGCAGATGCCCTTCCAGCCGCAACCCATAACTGGGAAACACACATACACTCCCCCATACTCATACACTAGACCAAGTCCATCCAACTCACCTATAGCGCATTTCTTTAGACTGTGGTGGAAACCAGAGCACCCTACGTAAACACTCAGATAACATGCAAACTCCAAACAGAAACGCCACCTGGCCCAGTAGGGACCCAAACTAGTGACCAACTTGCTGTGAGTCGACAGTGCACAGTTTTGCTCCAACCCTAATCAAGCACAGCTGATCCAACTAGTCATGATGTTCAAGACTACTAGAGACTATTCAAGCCTGGTTTATACTTCTGCATCAAGTGATCAGCGTGACCCACTTGCATGCAATGCGCGTAGCCATGCATTTATACTTCTGTGTGCTGTTTGTGTTCCTCTGCAATAACACTTCACGCTAGTGGGCAGTGAGGTGTTTATGTTCCTCTGTGTCAAGTTTTTTTTTAGGAACGTTCCCTTAATGTACAAATGACTCAAACTCCCTTATTTTAAGGCTGGAACGTGCAACCACTTTAATCATAAGGTAAACACAAAACAAATGTTTCCGTCTGAAGCTCCGGACTCCACACTTGTAAACCCTAGCTCTATCAGACTTTAAGCAGGTATGAGTTGGAGGTGGCTGGAGCTAATCTATGCAGAGCTGTGGCCCTTCAGGAATCGAGTTTGAGACCACAGCCCTTAACAAATTGATTGGATTAATAAAGCTAAATTAAAATTAAAAAAAGAAAAAAAAAATATTGCAATTCGAAAAAATTTATTTTGCACATAAAAAAATGCGACTGATGAACTATTGCAGAAAAAAAACACTAATTTTCATTTGTGTATAAATGTATAAAAATGAAAATTTTTTGTTTGAAAACTTTGAGAAATATTTAGGTTGTTTTTTCAGAAATTAAAAATAAATAAAAACCTATTATAAATAAATAAAAATGTTTCAATGATATTAATGCAGTCATTGTCAGATTATATGTTAAAAATTATGTATATATACTATCATATTACATATATTTAATGTAGTTCATGTGTGATTTAAAATTTCTAAGTATTTACTAAAAATATTAATAAAAGGTGTAAATGTAGTTACACAATCTTTTAAAAGAATGAAAATATTAATTCATTTCTTCATTATTCTTCCATCCATCCATCCATCCATCCATCCATCTATCCATCTATTCATGCATGCAATCATTCATTCATTCATTCATTCATTCATTCATTCATTCATTCATTCATTCATTCATTCATTCATTCATTCATTCATTTACTTGCTGATCAGTTACAATATAATTTTTTACAACATTAACCCTAACCTTTGATCTTTAAAAAAAAAAATTTCCCTTGAAAAATGGTTGAAAATTTAGCTTTAATTTTGCTTCAAGCATAAATCGAGTGACCTTTTGAATCATTATGCATTTGAGCCAGGAATGCCCTTTCTGCTTGTGTGATTATGAGCAGGATGAGGTGCAGGTCTCGTCTCTTTCTGAGTTTTCTCTGCGGGCCGCTTTGCTCTTGCATAACAGGAAGATGAAGTCCAGCGGGAGACATCTGTCATACAGACCACCAGTGTGCTTTTACATAATCACCATGGACACATTTGTGCTTGTGGTCAGTATTTGCAGACTTTGCTCTGAGGGAAGCTGTTGTTTGGTTTGCTTCTCTTTATGGCTGAAGAGCTCAGTCAGCTGATGGAGCGTGAAAGTGTAATGTTTCTGAGAGCACATGTCTGGCTATGGGTCAGATCTACTGAAGAAAAGGGAACGGGATGTTTTGCGATTTTGTTTCTATGCAACCGTGATTCGCTTTTGTGAACTACCTTTGTGTTTTATTTGACGCCCTTCTGGAGGAAGATTGTGGAGATTTTGTGGTTGTTTGCAAGAGTTCTTCTCATATATTGGAAAAAAGAGAGGTTCAAAAATGTCTTTTATATATAATATTTATTTTATTTTATAAAGGTCTTTTTGCTTAAAATATCAAATTGTGTTTTCAGACGAGTTTATATACATTTTTTAGACGAATCAATACCATTTTTTAACTTCAGAAAAAGTATGACTTTTTGAGAATTGGTTGTTATGACCAATAGTCATTTTCTTAAAAACAAATCTTTTATAACCTCAAAATAATGCTTTTAATGACCCCCATTTTCATCTTTAGAAAACATGATGATACATGATCATTTAAGAAAAGGTATCATATCAAAATTCTATGGGTTGCTTATAATTTACTCATCTGATCCTCCTGAAACCCATAGAATTTTTTTTCTTGTTTTTCTTGTTTTTTTTTTTGTGATTTTCAAATGTCCTTTGGGCTTAAAAAATTCTACAATTTAGAGTTTTTGCATTTAGTTTTTATTTTTAATTTTACAGCATGTCCACTGTAGTGGACCACAGGACCATTTTAGTTCGAAATGGCCGCCAAACTCAGACAACAAAACTGTACAGGATATGGCTGTAGAGGGATATTAATCCAATATTAATGTAACAAAAACAAAAGCCATTTTTCCTTTTGTATTGAAATTCCTGAAACAGTTTAGTCTGAAAGAGAGCCAAATAAAAAAAAAAAAGAAAAGAAAAGAAAAAAAGAAAAGGTAGTGATGTTAATCCAAAACAAATTTAACATAAAAGTAATTTAAAACTGATTGTCATTCTCTAGTTGTCTCCAATTCTCTAATTGTCTAATTGTCTAGTTGTTAAGATGGTGTCCGCTATAGTGGAGATTTAAAAAAATATGCTATTTTGAAACACAAACACGTTAACTGCTTTAAAAGCTAAATGTATTGTTTCCGACACTTTAATAAACAAATAAATATGTAATAATAACAGTAAAAAATTTTACATACCTTTCTCCTTCCTATAAAATGTGCTTTTTTGTAAGTCAGCCATCTTGGTAGCATTGTAAGAAGTGGTTCCTAGCATGCCAGCCAATCAAATGACATATCACTAGAAAGCCCAGGATGTCCTCTGAACAGAACAACAGGACTTGACAGATTAGCTTAAAAGATTAAAAAAAAATTCATGAAAACGCAATGTAATTTCAAAACAAATTTTCCTGGACCCCAAACTTTTTTTTTTTTTTCTTACTGGGCTTATACCCCAGTTTGCTCTATGCAAAAAAAGTTTAGCTTTGCTTTGGACAGATACAAAGACCAAATGTTTAATGAGACAGATGCTGTCAAGCCTTCCATTCCAAAAGATAACTCTTCAATTGTTGTACTTTGAATTCTGTATGACGATTACAGTCACTTTAAAGGGGGAACATTTATACAGTAAACAGTTGAAATCAGAATTATTAGCCCCCTTTGAAATAGTTTTTCTTTTTTTAAATATTTCCCAAATGATGTTCAACAGAGCAAGGAAATTTTCCAAGTAGGTCTGATAATATTTTTTCTTATTTGTGGTATTACGGCTGGAATAAAAGCAGTTTTAAAATATTTTAAAAACATTTTATGGTCATAATTATTAGCCCCTTTAAGCAAATTTTTTTTGAATAGTCTAAAGAACAAACCATCGTTATACAATAACTTGCCTAATTGCCTAATTACAATAACCTGCCTAGTTAACTTTATTAACCTAGTTAAGCGTTTAAATGTCACGTTAAGCTGTATAAAACTATCTTCAAAAATATCTAGTAAAATATTATTTACTGTCATCATGGCAAATATAAAATAAATCAGTTATTAGAGATGAGTTATTAAAAGTAATATGTTTAGAAATGTGTTGAAAAAAATCTTTTCCCCGTTAAACAGAAATTGGGGGGAAAAAAAATAAACAGGAGGCTAATAATTCAGGGGGCTAATAATTCTGACTTCAACTGTATATCCTTTTTTGTTTGTATATTCACTAAATGCAGCATTTTAGTGGTTGCAAAGAATTTTGTCTGATTGTAAAAGGCTGTATTTAATGTGTAAAAATGGAGAACAAAATATTTAATTTTTATCAAATGTGGAAGAAAACTGGAAGGACCTTTTAAAAGATTAAAACAAATATTAACATTTTACTCAAACCCACACCTGTTCAGTTCAGTAAATACAGAGAAGCTTTCTATTGTTTTGTTATATAGCTGCCCATACTGTAAGTTCAGGTTACTACATCCAAACGTAAATAGAG